TTTTTAACCTGTTTGTGGTCCGACGTGCCGTATACGGCCAACAGGGTGGTTTATAGGTTTTAACTTTGTGAAAGACAAAACAAAACAAACACAAAAGTAAACATAATACATATCTTTGGAAAGCTGAGAAACTCGTGATTCGAACGACGTAAACCATTTTAAGATACAATCAACACAGCGGGCACAATCTGTCTCTTTGTCAGACCACCAACAGCCAAAACAAACCAAACAAACTGGAAGAAACTCACCAATTTAGCCATCTGTTAGTCCACATTCCAACAAAAATGGTTTGGTTTCACTGTAAAGCGTCCATACAATCCAATTTGAAGAAGTTTTTAGTCCAAAACAATTGTATATATGAATAAACATCCATGGAATGCAATAGTAGCATTTCGCGTTAGCCGACAGCGCTATCACAACTTCGACGCACTAACACTATTTGATCTGTCTAACTTCAGTTGAAACGTAAACATTGGAGAAAAAAGTATGTCAAAATGGCCGCTGACCCCCGAACTATTGATTGACAGGTCATTTTAGCCAATCGGCGAGTGTTAGGGGTGTCTTCTGATGTTCCAACAACCAACGAGCTCGCCTGGTGAAATCTGTACCTACCTCTCTTTGAGTGACAGTTTATCTATCCAGTTGCAATAGAGAATGAAATGACGCTATTTTCTGATAGCCAATGAATTTCTGAAAAGACTGAAATGCAGCTTTAGTGGCTGGAATCATCCGATTACGTTATATTTCATGCGTAAAGCGAAAGTGATCCTCTTGCGCGTTTGTGCGTAACACAACATTGAACGCGTTGGGTGAGTGAAAGGAGGTAACAGATGTGAAATGGCAAAGATAATTAGAAAGACGCACTTATTACTCGAAGAAGTGATTGAACAGTGTATTCTCCGTGACCGTGGTGAGTGGGAGGACATTTGTGAGCAAGAGAGCAATCGATGTTGTTGTCTGGTTAGCACGACTAGCAGAGGACCCTTTTGGATGGTGGCCACGGCACTCACGTCACGAAAAGTAAGTTTTATTATATTGCCCAACATATTTGACTGTATATACTGAGACATGTGTTTGTTTTAGGTGTACTAAAACAAACACATGCCTCAGTTGAGGTGTGTCAGCTTTTGCCGTGTGTGTTTGTGTGAGTGTGTTAAACATAGCATTACCTGCTAGCTAGGTTCTCTGGTGTGCGCTCGTAACGTTACAGCACTATTTAATATGTGGCCTTTTTGTGAGTTGAAATTGCTAAACACGCAAAACATACATGTCTTGTGTGTGTGTGTTTACATGTGCTAACTTATGTCGTGTTTGTTTATGTCATAGCTCATGATGTGCGTGTGCGCTCATGAACTGCATAATCCTGGTTCTTTGTGTGCATGTGTTTCTGTTTATTTTTGTATTCACACGCATATAATGTCAATGTTTTGTAAATTATTTCCCTTTTTTATATATCACAGACCATCATCTGAAAATTAGTGAGTGAATTCTGGGAGCCAGTCAGAAAAAAACAACATACTGGAACAGAATGACAGCACCTTATCAGGAGAGGAGCCCCATCATTTATCTTTCCAGAGAGGTTCTGCCAGCTAAACAACAAGTGGACGGGGAGGGTGAGATGCAGAGGAGAACTGGCTTTTTCTTTTTTCAAGTCTGTGCATATCACTGGACACAGCACTGCAGGTCGTCACACTTTTTGTGTGTGTGTGTGTATATATGTATATTATATATATATATATATATATATATATATATATGTATATGTAGTTTCAGTTCTAATATTAAAGTGTTTTAGTACCATAGCACTTGTTTTGTCTCTTTATTTGTAGAAAGTTTGGTTTCAAGAATTGAAAAAAAAAACACTATAATGTGTTTATGCTTCAGTTACTATGTGTCATCAATATTTACAGTGAATCTGGCTAAGGAATATGATAGCCCTAAATGTAACCTTTCATTAGAGCCCAAAATTATGACTGTAGAGTAAAGTATTCAAGAATAGCAGCATTTTATGTGTCTATGATCACAAAGGGTCATTTGGAGTCTCCAAGTGGCTTTTTTTGGGAAGCGCCTAGATATACACTTAGATAAACATGTGTAAAACACTCATTTTCTTAGATATCATCATCAAATTTTAAACTCTGTTTGGTAAGGCTTCATGCTGTGATCCAGTTGTGTTTTCTAGCTCATAGCTCCCAGCTGTAGTTATCTGCAGGCATCTGTTTACACAAAAAAAATGTAGGCGGAATTTTTTTGTCATTTTTCATTGTGTTCAAAGTTATATTACTCAAGACCAGTAAGACTTACAGTGATTTTGACTGTTTAGGAACAAACCTCTGAGTGTCACCTTTCAAAAGAGAGCAAAAGCATGCATATACTCCAAATGGTTCAAGAACAGCATGCAATTTAATTTGGATAGGTCTTTTTTAGGCGTTTCGGGCAAATTTTGCAGGCCTTCTAAGAGGTTAATACATTTAATACAACGTCTTTTTCACCTGGGCTGTCTTGTGTTCCCCCCATTATTATGTATTTGGTTCAGTCCTGTTCCAGTTTTCCCGCTCCTCATTTGTGTTCATGTTTACCACCTGCGTTCTTAGTTAATTTGCCCAGCCCTAGCTGTGTCTTATTTCACTCATCTGTTCCTCTGTATTGAAGCCCTGTGTTTTAGTTCAGTCCTTGTGAGTTCTTGATGTTGTAACGTTTGCTGTTAGCTGTCTCTTTGTTCCTGTTCTGAGTTTTCCCTGGATTACCTTTTTGTATGTTTAGCATTAAAAGTGCTTGCTATTGGATTCACACTTCGTCATTGCCTGAATGTTACACCATCATTAGAGTATTAGTATGCTTAATATCTCCTATTTTGTTTATTTACTACATTTTATTTTGATGGTCCCCCAACAGAAATTCTTCTGACTATAAGTGACTTGGCAACTACAAATACATGTACTGTATTCTACTAACCCTAACCCGAACACCTAACCATAACCTAAGTCTACTGAAAGTCTTCTAATATTCTAATTTAGTTAGAATTAGTTGGCATGTAGTTGCAAAGTTACTTATAGTCAGAGGTGTAGTTTTAAAAAAAAATAAAGAGGTGGGTAAACTATAAATTGGTATAAGGTGGGCCACTGCCTAGCGGTGTCTTTGTATCCTGATAACATTGCTATATAGGGAGGGCTCGACATTAAGCCTTTTCATACGCTTGTCCTTCGGACAAGTAAATCTGTCATTCACTTGTGAAGCTGCTTTGATACAATCTGTATTGTGAAAAGCGCTATATAAATAAATGTGACTTGACTAGACTTGACTTGACTTGTCCAAGTTAAAAAAAGTTGCTTGTCTGGATTTATTAATTTATTCTGAAACAATATTCTCATCAGTGTTCAATCAGCTTTGATATTTAAATCACCATATTGTAATATCTGCACCTTTAAAGGGCATCCCCTCCCTATAACAGTTTTTCTCAATTGCTAAAACACAATTTCTGAAACATTGCTCCATTTTCTGAAAACATTAAACACAAAACCTTATCTTCAGTTTTACCTGTGTTCAAAATCAAACACTGCTCTCAAAACAGTTTTACCTGTGTTCAAAATCAAACACTGCTCTCAAAACAGTTTTACCTGTGTTCAAAATCAAACACTGCTCTCAAAACAGTTTTACCTGTGTTCAAATTCAAACACTGCTCTCATATCATAAACAAAGTGATTTAAATGCTATACACTATCAATCAGTCAGTAAACAATACACCAAACAATTTAAAACACATTGTTCAAAACATATAGCTCTCAGGGAGAACTATATGTCAAAACAACTGAATTCCATATAAAAAAAAAATCATATTTTTTCATTGTACGGTCTACAGCAGTGCACAGTACTACAGTATACGATATATACGAAATAAGGGACACAAATGAAAGGAGTAAACATTTGATCAATGTGCTTCTTGTCTTTGGCCTTGGTCATGCCAGAGGACTTCGTCGACTTCACAAGCAATATTGTCCCTTGCCCCCCTCCTCTTCCTCTTTCTTGCCCCCCTCCTCCTCCTCTTCTTCCTCCTCCTCTTTCTTGCCCTCCTCTTCCTCTTTCTTGCCCTCCTCCTCCTCCTCTTCCTCTTTCTTGCCCTCCTCCTCCTCGTCGACCACCTCGCATACGTCCTCGTCCTCTCACATTGTGTTTTCTATCCATTCTGAGACTTTCTCCTTTCCACCTTCAACAACCTCTCAGTTCAGTTTGCTCTCTGAACTGGTTACAGTTTTTGCCCATTGCTTGAACACATTTTGCCAAATTTCGCTCATTGTGCCAAAACTCTACACATAAGTAAACGTGACACAACACTGGAAAATATACCGTTCACATCTGTGTCAAATTGAAACTCTACGATCAAAACCTAACATTCCTTTGTCAAAATGTAACTCTGATGACAAAATGACACACTTGCACCATATGCTAACACTTTCAGATCAGAGGGAACACACTAGGCTACTTTATATAAAACACTGCAGTCTTTGATTTTGACTGTTTATTCAGAAGGCATATTTTCAGGAGGAACATTTTCAAACAACCAAAAAAGCAAACAGGCCTACTCAATATTGTACATTGCAGCACTGTGCATTGCAGTAAGATAAACTCAGATAAAGCAATATATATATATATATATATATATATATATATATATATACACACACACACTGTAATACTGTAATAGAAATAACACTATATATATTACAGTATACATACATTATGGAGAGCATCTAGAAATGTGAGTTTGGCTGTTGTATGCACTATAGAGCATATTACTGCACTATAGTGCTACACATATACAGAACCCTCACCCCATCACATACCTGTGTAGCTCTCCAAATGGATCCATGTGGTCCTGATATGGTACATATTCAGCTGGTACTGGATTTCACCAATACTGTATTGTACATGTAAAGGACAGTTACACTTACCCATATATTCAGCTCGAAGTCCTTTGACCTTGTCACTGTTCCTCTAAAATGGGACTCTGTAGAGCTGCTTCATGGTGATGCTGTGTTTTCCCAAGATGCGTCTGATGGTGGTGATCCTCACATGGTTTATGTTGTTGAACACTGTTCTGTATGCAAGTATTTTCTGGTGGAGACGGATGGCATTGTCTGCCCTCACTAGGTCCACAATGGTGAGTTCCTTCCGTTGTGTGAACAGTCATTGGCGTCCTCTCCCAAAAGGTCTTCTAGTCATTGATGTGATATACAGTACAGTGCTGTCAATACCATCTGAGTGGAGTAGAAGAGAGGTGAAGACATACCTGTTTTCTAGTCAGAATTTTCTAACAGTATTATAGATGTCACTGTGAAGTGGCTTATGTAAATGTGGCTGGACTCTCTGCCCAGCCTCCCTCATCGTCAGGCCATGGTTGATTACATGGTCCACCAAAGTTGATCTTACAGTATATCATCAGAGTCCGTGCATGGCCTCTTCGACCTTGACCTCCTCTTCCTCTTGCTCTCCCTCCCTCTATCCATGCTTGCAAAGTTCTTCAAATGGCTAAACTGAGGGCTTTTTGTAGCTGGCTGATTGGTGTTCAGTTTTGCAATTAAGTGCCTTTGGGTGAGTATTTGAGTGGTTGCAATAACCCAATGTGTTTTGCATTTTGAATACATGTGTTTTCCAAATTACACCCTGAGATTTCATGTTTGAACAAAGTGTCTTATGTATGAAATAGAGTGTAGTATGAAGGACCAAGTGTGTTGCATAAAGGAGTAAGTGTGTTGCAGAATTGCAACTAGAGTGCAAAGCAACGCTTTTGTTTAAAGTATGGGTACATGTGTTTGAGGCATGGTAACAAAAGCTTCAAGTTGTGTTACTTTAGTCTAAGCATGGTTCTATAGTGTTAAAGCAATGGGCAAAAACTGTAATATTGGTTGTGTCACATCATTTGAAACAGGTTGAATCAGTTTTGAGTGGTTGTGTTCAATCAAATGACATGTGTTCTCTATTTGTATTTGATTGTTGCCACTTGTGTTTACCAGTATGGATGATATGTGCATTGGAGTGCAGAATGTTTTTTGAGAATGAAAATGTGTTCAGAGTTTTGCTGAAAAGTCTAAGTGAGATCTGCAAATTGTGCTTTACCATGAGAAATTGTTTACGGTATTGACAACAGACTTCACAATTAGCTAAATGAGTTCAGGCAACTGAGAACTTTGTTCAGCCAATGGATTTTAGTGTTTTAGCAATTGAGAAAAACTGTAAATGTATGCTTCGTCTTTCATTTTAAATTCCTAAATTTGATCAATAAATTCAATTATTTCGAATAATGAGACACTATAGGGCTGTTAACCTAGGGGCTGATCAAATTAAACCATTTACACTGAAAAATTACAATTGCATAAAATAATGTTTCGAAATTGATTTAAATTTACATGTAAGAAACGTTGGAAAGAATGATACTGTTAAACATTTAACACTAAACCGCCAGTAGGTGGCGGCAGGCGACTGTCTTAATGAGTGAGTCATTGATTA